TATCGCACGGAATAACGTCGCGAGTTTATCCAACCCCAATAACTTTGCCATGTTTACTGATGTTTACTTCCGAGTAAAGCGCGAAGCAGCGCGAAGTGTGACAGATAACGCTCAGCAGCTAGCGGATGACTGGCTTATGGCAGTATCGCAATAGTACTAGAAAATATTGAAAATGCCGTTGAATGTCCAATCAGAACTCGTAACACCGGTCGCGACCAACTTGCCAATGCTAAATAATTTTACTTTTCTCAGTTGGTAAGATTTTTGATTACTATGGTACCTTGACGGTTGAACGTTTCAACCGTCAATTGTTTCAAATCTTACGCACTAGCAAAAACGACAGAGTAAGTACTAAGTATTAAGATCGGCTTTTTTTTCCGTTCTTACATATTCCGTGTTTACATATTTCCGGCTTTTCGTATAGCGTTTTAACGTGCTTATTGTTTTGTCGTCACAGGTATGGATGAGACATGGACAGATATGGAGATGAGAAAAAATAATCGGAAAATTGTCTTTGCAGATAATTTGCAGGGAAAATTTTCTGTGGAAGAAGAAAAAGAAATTCAAGAGTTAGTCAATTTTATAAAATCAAAGGCAATAAATGTTGCAGATTCATTGCCTATTCACGATGATATAAAACAGTAAGCATCATTGACATTATAAACAAAAAATATTTTTCTACATATGTAATTGTATAACATATAGTATTATAACACATATATTTAATTTTAGAGAAGATATGATTTATTTGTCACATAAAGGTGTAATGCCACATAGTGAAGACTATGAATTGTCATTGCCCTCATGTTCATACATGAGTACTGTTTCTGAAATTGGAGAAGGTATTTCAAGAATATGTAAACGACAAAATGAAGTAAGAAATTATGCAAATATATATAATTAATGTAACAGTTAAGAAAAATTATGTATTATGCATTTAGTATATATTTTATTTATTATTTCGTTGTTGCAATTATTTACAGGGATTATATGAATATTCCGAAGACAAGTGTAAAACTGCAGTACAAAACTGTTCTGTTTGTTCTACAAACACAACAAAACAGTGCGAAGTGTGCCTTACGTACTATTGTAGCAGAACTTGTCAAGTAAATGATTGGCCACAACATCAGGCTGAGTGTAGCTCTATTCCGTAATTATATTTATATATAGTCTCTCAAGTTTATACGTTTATATATTCATTAAAAGAAAAGAAATTTTTAAAAACATCGTTTACACGACGATACAATTGTTTTTATTGCATGTAACTATTAATAAAGTATTAATTTAGTAGATAATTAATAAAGACATTAAAAAGTAGATAAGCATTAAAAATTATATTTATTTCGAGAGAGAGAGAGGCGTAATGATCTTTAATGATTGAGACTAGATTTTGATGCCTAATAATTATGTGTGAATTTTAAAAACATTTTTCAGTTATGTGCATCAAGATCCAGCCTCGATTGTTAAAGGCTTTTCCCTCTTGTGTTATTTGTTTAACGGCCTAGTTCAATTCATTTATTATTTAATTTTGATTTATTTTTGTTAATTGAAATTAAAATTTTGGTTATATATATTTTTTCGCAGGGCTTTAGATGTTATAGATAACACATTGCTAATTAAGCAAGACGTAAATAAACGGCCTTCGACCCCTAATGTTGATACGGGTGAATGTAGCGGCGAAGTAAAACGACGAAGAATTGATACGTTTAACGTATGGGAAGAGGAAGCGAATAATACGACTAGAAATGGAATCAACAAAGAGAGTAATATAAAAATTACTCAAAATAATTATCATGATGCTCACGATAATTATGCACCTGAAATAAAAAAAGAAAACCAAGCAGTAATCAAGAAAGAGAAAAGTAATCATAATAGTAATTATAAACCTAAGACTAGTGTCAAAGAAAGACACAATAATAATAGCAATGTAAGAGATAAAATTTGCAATAATGATAGAAACTATCCCCAAAGAAACAGCTTCCAAAATAATAAAGGCTCTACTAGCTATGACAGAGAAAATACTAATAGCCAAACTAGTTCCTCAGTGAATGATTCTTCTTATAAAGAAACATATTTATCCAACAAAGAATTTACAACCGTGCAAATCGTAAAATCACTAGGTAATAATAAATATTTGGTATTTAATTCAAAAGATGCTGACGCCCGTACCATTTTAATGACAAAATTACAAGATATAAAAAATTCAGCAAATCTGCCGCCGACTGTTGGTGGCGTTTATGGTGTGAAATATGAAGGTCTTTGGTATCGAGCTATGGTAACATCCTTGAATCCTACGACGATCCAATATATTGATTTTGATGAACAGGAGACACTAAAAAAAGATGCCGAGCTGAAAGATCTTGGAGACTTGATTGAATCTCCAACAATTATTAGAAAAATTTGTGTGCCAATTTGGCCAATGGGCATAAGTGATAAGTACAGGAATCTACAAGTGGGAGATGAAATTTCCGTTAGAATGATTTTTGTCGATTCTGAAAAATATTCAATGGTAGAATTAAAAGAAGAACAGTTCGCTGAGAAAAAGAAGTTCGCTGCAGATTAATGCCCAAAGACTTTATTCAAGCTGCAGCAATGGCGAATACGTGTACAAAATTTATATATAGAACAAACTCCTGTTTCATGTTATCTGTAAAGAAAGTCGATTGATATGTTAATAGCTGGTATAAGATTATTTTTAAATCCAGTATTTGTTCACCTCCATAAAGATGCTGTTGAATGTCATCTCACAAAATCATCGTTTTCGCCATTGCTACAAATGATCTTTTCGCCATAGCCATGGGAAAGCCACATCAATTTATTTTCAATATGTGAGTTACACAGATTTAGATTAAATCATTTTAAGCACAGATATAAAATATTTTAAGGTATAAAGATATATATATATATATACATTAATTTTGTATTAATATAAATTTTATTAAACAGAAAAATAGATGTTGTGGCTTGCCTATATAAAAATTGTCAAAATAAATCAGCGGCCATTAGTCAGAATCGTTAAAAAACGATATTAAAATATTAAAGACAACGAATAGCTTGAAATTATTTCAAATAAGTAATGTACATTTATAACATGTGTTTTAATACATTTAATTTAATTTTTCTGTCTACTCACGCACTCTCTATCCTCAAAAGTATTCAATGAGTAGAAATACGTATGTTCTTATGTAATTCTAACTTACAGCAACATTTTCCCTAC